CTCCCCCCAGCCCCTGCCCTCTGCTCCCACGTCCACTATCTCGATTCCGTGAGAATCTGGGACTCTTCCCAGTGGAAGGACAGAGCCAGGAAGGGGAGGGTAAGCAGAGGCTGTAAAATCGTGCCGGGCGTGGAGAATGCGCACTTGACTTGCTCAGCAAACCCCAGTCATCAGAATTAAGGGACCCAGCGGAAGGCTGAAGCAGAGAATTTAGGAAAATAAAAGGCCATCCTGTCCCTCCCAGCAGGGAGGGAGCATATGGCTCTCCTTACCTGGAGAGGCGGCAGGCTCGGAATAGAAATACGCTCAGGAGCCATGGAGGCGAATTCAGACGCCAGAGAGCTCCAGTTAATTCGCCGGTAAAGGAAGATCCAGGGGCAGTGGGGGGAGGGGACGGGGGGCAGAGAGCGTTGGCGGGCTCTGGTGTCCACACGGCTTGAATGCAGACCTTGGCAACGCTCACTATGACTCGGTCATCTCACCTCCTCTCTGCGCCTTAGTTTCCACACCTATGGGGATAATATTATTACTGTTGTTGTATAATATATATAATAGCATGTTTCATATAACGCTGTAGTCTAATAGCGTAGCAGCAAGGATTCAGTTAGAGAGGGTAACACTCTCAGCATAATGCCTCCTATGTAAATCTCTGTAAATATAGCACCCCCCTCCCCATGGCTGTAATCTCACAGGCAGGGCTGATAGCACCCGTTTAGCACATGGAGAAACCAAAGCTCCAAGATGCTAAAGGACCTTGTCTAACATCACGTGCTGGTTGCATGCCGAGCCCAGGACTAGAACCCAGGGCTGCCTTCATTCACGACGCGAATACTCCGTGAGCTTCTACTGCGGGGCCAGGCTTGCCTTCAGGGAGCTCCTAGCCTGGGAAGGAAGACAAATAAGTTACAGTGTAGCATGATATGGACAGATACGTGCTCCCAGACAGACACAGCCCTGGGGCGGTGGACATGAAGTCTCCCTACAGCGGGCTGGGCAGTCAGGGCAGCCTGCCTGGGGGTGGCAGCACCTGAACATAGGGCTTATGGAGCACTATTTATCTACTGTATCTAGAAGAGCCTTCCAATCAGAGTTAGCAGCGCAGACAAAGGCGTAGAGGCAGAAACCAAATCCTTGGCATCTGCATCCGCCCCCAAGGCTGAGCCTGGGGCCTGGCACACAGCAGGCCTGAATACTTGTGCTGAAAGTGGATGGCCCACGATCCTGGCCTCAGGCCCGGCGGAAGGCTCAGTGACCGGCCCTGGCGTGGCCTCACCTGGGCAGAGACACACAGGCTGAGGGGACAGCCCACAGGGTCCTCGCTCTTCCTGTGCCTGGCTTTTCAAAAACACAATTACCTGCCCTTCAGAGATGCCGTCAGTGTTGGTAAACTCCAGCCGCTACACTGCATTACACCGATCTCTCCAGAAACCTTTGCAGTTATTAATAGTTTATTGATCGCAGCCCGTTGCTGATGAGAGGAAGCCCCTCACTCTCACCCCCCTCGGGTCCCTGCTATCTGTGGCAGGCCTTCTAGCCAGCAGGCGGATCAATGCCACTCAATTCTGGGGGAAGTGAGTCTCTGGGCCGCTTAATCCACTTCAGAAAGACAACAGGGAAGGCAAAATCTGCGACAAGGCGCGGAGAAGAGGTGGGTGGGTCTGAACGAAAGTTGTGACTTGGCCGCTGTGGCTCTGCAGATGACAGCCAGACTCTGCCATGGCCTGGGGGGTGTCACATGGGGTGGTATCAACAGGAGAAGCTGGATGACGGTACGCAGGGGTCTCTATTGTCTTTGCGATTTTTCTGTAATTTTAAACTTACCCAAAATACAAATTTTATTTTTTAAAAAAGGGACTCGGCACATGGGAGGTCGGGAACTTGGGAAGAATGGAAGGAACACCATCGTGGCAGGAAGCAGGGAAGGGTGCAGGACAAGGGTGGGGAGAGACACAGCTGGAGGTGCGGAAGGAGCCGGCTCTGCGGGGCCCCGTGGGCTGAGATGAGGATTCTTGTCTGTTTCGTAAGAGCAGAGAGAAGCCTTTGAAGGGACTTGGGTAAGGGGGTCCGTTCATCTCATTTGCATCCGAAAATCTGGATCTACCTGGGGAGCGGGTCCGGAGAGACACGAGCGGGGCAGAAAGCCCAGCGAATCCCCTGCCTGCACGTTCCAGGCGGGAAGAGGTGTGACAGCGGAGAGGAGGGAAGGGGGTGGCTGGGATCTATCTAGGAGGCAGAGCACCCAGGACCCGGCCACTGACTGTCTTTGCGGAGTGTGGAAACAGAGGTAACAAGGACGTGCCCAGGAGTGTGCCTGGCTTAACGGTGCAGGGCCGGGCCACCCCTGGAGCTAGGAACCCCAGTAGAAGGGACGTCTGGGGCAGAAACTGTCCTCGGTGAGAAGCTGCCTTTTTCATAAAGCACCAATCCAGAAGTCCCTTGAGCTGTCTTCTATACCACCTGTGAGGTGTCACCTACATGCATGGCCCAAACATATTGCTTATGTTGCTGTCACCTGAGCATGTCATCAGTGTAGCAATTGCCTAAACATGGCACCTGCGTTGCTATCCCATAAACGTATCTTCTGGGGCTATCGCCTGGGTGGTGGTTACCTGCACGCATATCCACCTGGTGTCAACCACGTCGTGATTTTCTTACTACCTCACCTGGGGAGCTGCCAGCTACATGTGTCCCCTGAGTCTGTTTCTTTATGGAGCTGTCACCTGAGCATGCCACCGGCACCCCTGTCACCTACAAAAGTCACACCTGCAAGTGTCACCAAATTCAAATTCTGCTCCTACCGTTTGTAAGTCATGGGATCTTGGATAAGTCATGCTGTCCCTCTCTGAGTCTCCATTTTCTTATCTAAAAAATGTCACTCTAGGTCACTGTCACTCAGAAACGGCGCCTGGCGCAGGGATTATTTTTTCAGTCTGAGTTACAAACAAAGAAAATCGTTCCCGGAGGGGAGAGCCGTCCCCTGCCGTTCCCACTGTCGCTGTGCTCTTTCTTCCGAGCTCAGCGTGCAGAGGGAGGTGGTGTCTTCTCCACCAAGGTCCCCTGCTGGAAAGCTCCCCATTCTTCCAGTCCTTCCGTGGCAGGCCAGGTGTGAACCTCTGTGTGTTCTATGTAAATGAAGGTGTGTGTCGACGCTCATGTGTGCTGGGTGGTGGGAGCGGAGGGGGACGTCACATGAGCCGGCTCAGTGCGATGAGACCACAGCGAGGGCAGCCCAAGTGTGTGGGAGGCCAGGCTGGGGTGGGGGACAGTGACCCATAGGGAAGAGGAGCTGGAAGACAAGGATGGGGGCAGCTGAAAGGGGAGGCTGCACCGCTCTGCAGAAACAGATGGGGAGAGGCAGAGAGCAGGACGTGTGTCCACCAGGCGTGGGGATGAAGGACTGAAGGCGCCTCTCTCCTCTGGGGTGGCAGGGCTGGGACACGTGCCCGACAGCCCGGCCGCTGCCCTCTCCTCTCCCCAGCGGGTCTCTCCGATGGGACTGTCCGGCCATGAGGCAGGCGAGGGCCGTGGATATGGACGTCTTACCTGGCTTTCTGCTGTGACTTGAGAACTTCTGAGAGCTAAATGGATACTAAGTTGTAACCAGATTAGGCTGGGACTTGCTGGAAGACACACAAATGTCCCCGATGCCACAGTGATGTAGCCTCCGCAACTCCAGGCTGAGGTTTCTCCATGTCAAAGTGTCCAGATCCCACGTGGCAGGAATTCTGTCCCCCCCACAGGGCATCGCGGGGTGGAGGAACGGCGCGTCACGGCCCCTCTGTCCATCTGGGTGTGACTTTCCTGCCTACAGAGGCCCTGCAGTGACATCGTCACATCCAGTCTTCTCTGCAGTCCTATGAAGTATCACCTTCAATCTTTAGAGAAGAAAATGGGGTTCAGAGAGGGACGGCATGACTTACCCCAGGTCCCATGGCTTGCAAACAGCAGGTGCAGAATTTGAACTTGGTCCTCTCTGACACTATGCCGGGGGTCTTTTCTGTATGGGGGAGAGGAAAGAGCTGCCCTGTTCGTGTTTTCCACAGGGAGAGAGAACAGCATACTAACTCACTTTAACATGGTTGGACACCGTAGACCCTGCAGAAAGATCTAGAACAGGAGTTGTCAAGCCACAGCCTGTGGGCCAAACCCAGCCCACCACTTGTTTGTTCACAACTTGTGAACTGAGAATGCTTTTTATGTCTTAAAATGATTGGAGAGAAAAAGAAAACCAAGAAGAATATTTCATGGCTTATGAAATTACATGAAATTCAAATTTCAGTGATTGCAAATAAAGCTTTATTGGAACACAGCCCCATTGATTTGCTGCTTTTGTACTGTAAGGACAGGATCGAGTAGATGCAACAGAGACCAATAAGGGCAGCAAAGCCTGAGATATTTACGCTCTGGCCGTTTAGAGGAAAAGTCTAGGGGCAGGTTTGAGGGGTCTCTCCCACCCTGAGGGTCACCTCCTCTGAGCAGCCCTCCTGGCCACCCCAGAGGCAGAAGTGGCTGCTCCCGCACCCGGGCTCAGATGAGCTCATGCTATTCCCAGTGACTGTGGATCACAGAACAGCCTCCTGCCTCCTTGCCCACCAGGGTGGGAGCTCCTTGGGGACAGAAATTTTATCGTGTTTCTAATGCTGGCTAACGTTGGCTAACGCCAACACCTCTTCACCCACGTCATCCTCGTGGCGCACGGGAGCGGGCACCACCCGAGACCGTGGAAGCCGGCAGGCTAGATAACAGCCCCAGGGCCACAGAGTGCAGATTTGACCCCAGCTGGACACAGCCCGCACCCTCACTCTGAGACGCGGGGCACAGGGCCTGCATGCAGTCGGGGCTCTGTAAATGCTCGCCTTCCAGCCCGGCACGCAGGCATGCGGTCGCTCCGCAGTGTTTGTCGGGCAGAGGCTGGGCCCTGGGCACTGGGTGGGTCCCTCAGGCGCCGCCTCCTTTGGCCCCACAGTGACAGACCTCATCCTGTCCTCTGCCTCCCCCAGGCTGCCTGAGGTCCGGATCTCGGACAACGGTCCCTACGAGTGCCACGTGGGCATCTACGACCGCGCCACGAGGGAGAAGGTGGTCCTGGCGTCAGGCAACATCTTCCTCAACGTCATGGGTGAGTGCGGGCTCCTGCCCCTCGGTGTCTTGGTGAGGAGGGTGCGTGTGTGTGCACACATGTGTTTATGTGTGTGTGTGCGCACATGTGTTTATGCGTGTGTGTGCGCAGTGCACATGTGTGTGTGCACAGAGGGTCACCATCTTGGAGACCACCCACCAACATTTCTGTTGTGCTGGTATCTTCCCCTTTCTGCCCTTGCCTTGGAGGGCCGATGAAGCCTGGACAAGGCTGTGACAAGGCCGGGCCACGTGAGGTGCAGCCCCTGAGGCCGTGCCCCCCAGGGATGTCCTCTGGGGAGCCCCTTCTCCTCCCAGCGCTCGTGCACTGAGCTCAAGGAGCAAAACTGGGTCTCGAGGGGCTCTGACACATCGACTGGAACGAATGAGTGACTGCAGGAGGAATGGCAGGTCCCCGGGCGGGCAGCAGGCCATCGCGGTGTCCGAGCCTCAGTTTCCACTGCTGAATACAGACCTAGTAGATCATTCAGGGGCCACCCAGCTCCAGGCTCTGAGACCGGTGAGGCCACAGGGAAAGAAGTGCCGGGCACCGTGCCACCAGCCGTGGGCACATCTTCCCCAAGAACCCTGCCAGTAGGAACACCCCGGGGGCAGTGCCGTGCCCCTATGGGGGGACAGTCCAGGAGGCTCCCCAGGGAGCATGAGATAGCATCTCAGCCCCAGTGCACACGTGCTGCAGAGAGAAGGATTCTTCCCCTCGGTAGAGCTCCCCTCCCTGTACCTCCCAAGGACCTTCTGCAGGTGCGGGGGACCAGGCGATGAATTAGAAAGCACTCTGGGCTGGGTCTCCGGGCTCCTGGATTCTGACCCTGTCTCCATGCCTCCATTTATGCATCTGTAAAATGGGCATAATAAGATTATTGTCTGCCTCTAGTTGGGCTGGGTTCTTGGGCAAGTCAACTCCCACCCAGCCTCAGTTTCCCCATTTGTACAACAAGGGCGTTGCTCTGAACGGTCTCAGCAAACCCCGCCAGTTCTTGTCAAATACGCCCTCGATTCCAGCTCTGCCTCGAGGCTGCTGGGGACTTGGCCTCAACTCTGGGCTCTGTGTTCTCTGATTTTCTTATCAAATAATATCTATCAGGAAACAAAGCTTGCTGTACTTGGGCAATCAATGAAAACATAAAGGCCCCGTCGAAAGCTGCTGCTTATGGAGAAATTGAAAACGTCCAAAGGCCAGACCTCCAGAGGGACATCGATCCCGCAGCGGCAGCCCTTGCTGCGTTCTGGCTTCTTGGTGGAGCCACGACGCGGGGTGCAGCGTTGCCGGGAACAGCCTCCCTCCCGCATCTGCTCACTCCGGTCAGCTCCTGATACGTGAACGAGGAGCTCTCCCTGTCCCCACCCCTGGGCTGGCCACACCGGGGAATCGGATGGGGCTCTGTGACCTCTGCAGGAGGCTGAGGCTTCCAGGAGGGCCCGGGGAGGGGCAGGGCCAGGGCTGCAACCCCCCCACCTTCCAAGGCTGACCCTGGGAAATTCAGGGCATCCATGGTGGGATTGTCCCTGGCACACAGTGCATCCCCTGGCTGTCCCACTGCTCAGAGATCACTGTTTGTCGTTGGTCTTCCCTGGCAAGTGCCTGACAGTGCGTGAGCGTCTGGCTTCATAGGCGTTACCTTTTAGAGTCCTTGTGACAGCCCCGTGAACCGGAAGACATTGTGATCCCTGCTGTAGGAGGCGAGCTGGGCTCAGGGCTGGGAAGTGACTTGCTGGGTTGTAACAGCCGAGTCCGAACCTGTGACCGAGACCAGCAGTTCTCAGTCTCGAGCCTGCATCAGAACGGCCTGGAGGCTCATTAAATGCAGACAGCTGGGTCCCGGCCCCAGAGCTTCTGATTCGGCAGGTCTGGGGCAGGCCTGAGAATCTGCACTTCTCACAAGTTCCCCGGGGCCACACTTTGAGAACCATTGGTCTAAATTTCTAGGTATTTCCAAAAAATGCCAACTGTGCATACATCTATACATCGATAGCTGTATCTGTCTATGTATTTACATCTGTGTCTATATTCTTATCCATACACAAATGTACTTTTCCTCCCTCCTCCCAATTCTCACTTCACCTTGCCCCAGACGCAGGAGGCTGCCCCCATCCCTCCAGCGCACAATTTAAGGACATACTGGCTTGGGTCCGAATCCCACATTCACCCATGTGACCCTAGGTCCATTAGCCTCTGTGGGCCTCAGTTTCCCCATCTGTAAAATGGGGATATGGATGCCTTCTGCCTGTGGTGGTTGTAAGGTTTACAGTAGATGAGGTTTGCAACACACTCGGCCCGGCGAGCGGCACCGTGGAAGAGCTGGGTGAGTTGGGCCTCGTGGTTTCTGCCGTGGCTGTCTCCAGCGCGCCCGCTCCTGCGCACGGCCGAGGCTGCCCCTCTCTGGCCCTCGGTTCCAGCCCCAGCACAGAGAAGTGCACCATTCACGACGCCACGGAGCCGCACGCCGGTGTGGGGAATGGAGGTTCTGGGAACACGGCTCACGCGCCCTGGTTCCCTGAGTGTTTCTGGGAGTGGCGGTGACAGCGGCTTCTGCCTACGCGTCCTTCCCGGGCGTCTGCTCTGAAGGTCTGTGTGTCCCATCACCACGTACCCAGGGAAGGAGCTGGGCTATGTCCCAAGTGTGGCAGTGACGGCAGCACCGATTTGTGCCAGTTCCAAAGTTCTTTCACGTTGAGCACGTCACCCACCTCGCTGCCCAGCCCCACGGGGTTGGTATTGCTATCATCCCCAATTCACGGAGGAGGAGACTGAGGCTCAGGGAGGGGAAAGTGCCCTACACGGGGTGGCTATCTCTGTCCCAGAGCGGTGTGGATTCCGTAGCTCACCAGGGGCGCAGACGCTGCGGGGAAGCGTGGCTGACACTGGGGGGTGTCTCATATGGCACCTCCTGCCATTGGTCAGCCGTGGGGGCCTGGGAGTTGGGACCGTGCTGAGCCTATTGCACAGACCTGGCTCGGAGAAGGACGTGCCTTGGTCAAGGTTGGAGGGTTAAATGAGGTAATCCAGGGAGCAGACCGTTCCGGGCCCAGCGCCTGGCACATTCCGGGTGATCAATACGTAGTATCTCTGATGACAAATAGTAATCCAGTCAGTTAAACACTGGGCACAGTAGAAAGGTTTGAAATTGTGCTCTTCTTCCCACCTCCCTGACCCTCTCCTTCAAATATATTTCAAAGCAGGCTTCAAAAATCAAAATCCGGGCATCGTTTTGTCATTTCTGGTCAATGTCTGTGACATCGTGCTCACCCGCAAAGACCTCCCTCCGGGTGAGCAGAGACCATCGAACGCCGGGTCTCCTTTGTGCCGTAAGGACCTCGGCAGCTAAAAGTGGGGCAAGCCAGCCCCTCCCCAATTTGGGGTCAGGACCCGGGGAGAGGGGGCAGGGGGAGCTGAGGACTGGGCTCGGGGTCCCCCGCATCAGAGCGCAGAAGCGGCTGCACCCCGCCTGCCCCCACCACGTCCGCATCCAGCACATCCTAACGCGGCGTTTCCAGAGGCCTCCGGGCGGAGATGAGAATGCGAGAGCGGCTGTAATTTCACGCCTATAACATCCCGCCGTGTGGTGGGGAAAGACATTTGGGAGCCCTGTGGGTGACACCGAGGGTGTGTGCTGCACACAGCCATTAAAATGTTTTTATCCGAGCTGCAGATAAATTGTAAGCCAATTTGAAAGTTGCGTACTGGGCCCCAGGAACGCATTATACACAGTCATGGAAGGATTTGGAAAGTTCTTCTTGGGGTGCAGGTTATGGGAGAGGAAGCATGCTAAGGGTGTGCTGTTACAATCAATTAAATGTTGTGAGGGGCAGACGCCCCACCCCGGCCCCCGCAGAAGCCATTCCGGTTCCTCTAGAATGACAAGGGGCAGGTTTCTCCGCCACCCAGTGGGGCCCTTTCAACCCACAGCCCGTAACCAAGGCTGCCTCCTGCGTGCTGGCTCCGTGCTCAGGGCCCAGCCACTGTCAGTCCTTCGCAAGAGCCCTTGGACAGGGGTGACCCCATTTTACAGGTGACAGAAGAGAGGCTCCGAGAGTTCAAGGGACTCACCCAGGTGAGAGACACAGCGAGGGTCCCACCAGGCCTGCCCCAGTCCAGGGCAACCCTGACTCCCAGGGGAAGCTCCCTACCTCTGACACGAAGGCCATGAGCAATGCCAATGTCAACAAGCACGGGGTAGGGACAGAATGGAGACAG